TCGCCTGCCTGCCAAAGCGGCTGAATTCTTTCGTGCAGCTTTGCAGGCTGATTGTGTGTGTGGGGGGGGGGGGGGGGGGGGGGTGCCTGGGACGGCTCATCCGCCTTCCTGTCAGGAGCAGAGAGCAGGTCGATTCAGCAGGAGCAGCTGGTGCTGCATCATCTTTCCCTTCCTTGAAAGGGGATAATTATTTACGGTGAGGGCCCCCGGTGCAAAAGAAGGAGGAATCGTGAGGCTGCTCAGCCGGGGAGAGGGCAGAGCCCAGCTGGGAAAATAATTTAGGTTTTCAGCTTGAGATGTGGCCCCGTTCAGCTCCCCAAAGCACCAAGCAGAGCGGGAGGCTGGATGTGGGTGCCGGTGCCAGCTTGCCAGCGAGAGACCGGGGAGGAGGGTGGAGAGGGAGGAGGAGCTGTCAGTGGCAAATCCACAGGGTAGAAATGGGCTCTTATCCCCTGTTTACAACACAAGTTTTTTCAGCAGGGGCAAGAAGGTCGCACACCCCTTTGCACTCTGACTCAGGTGACCTTGAGGGCGCAGGTAAGCCTCCAAGCGGCCTCAACGGCTCTCAGGAAGAATGCAAATGACCAGCTGTCTGCAAGGAGTGTAAATCCTTGAATACAAATATGCAAGAATACAAACCCTTCCCTCTTCCACCATTCAGTCAGAACCGAAGAAGCTTCTTGGACGAGAAGTGAAACGTCTTCAAAGAAAAAGCAGAAAGTCCAGTTGCCTTTTGGAAAAGCACCTTTGGGACAACCGTGATCTGGAGGACTGAGACTCTCCATGGACAAATGGAAGTGCACTTACAAAGGAGAGGATGGAATTGTTTGGGACCCTGAAGCATTCCAGTTCCACGTTGTGCTTTCTGGGTGGAGTCTGTCACGCCCTTGTTAGAGTCTGACTCTGAGGGAGAGGAGGAACAACCGACAGGGAGTGGAGGTTGTGGAGGAGGCTGGGGAAGGGCAGAGGCCAGCTGGACAGTCAGAGGAAGAACCAGGCCCATCCCCTCTTCATCCTAGGACATGCAGGGAGGAATGGAGGAGGAAACAACTTGGCTTACGAGAGAGGAAGTGGCCATGATCCCCTTCATTGGTTGCAGCTGGGGAGAATAGTATATAAGAGAGACAGTTAAAACACAGCATTGCCAGAAGCAAAGCGTGTTTTATTTTGGGCTGAAGTTATCTTGGTTGGCGTCCTTCCATCAGACTGTGCCTTGTTATCTCCTTAAAGTTGGTAATTACTTATCCTGGTCCGTTGTGGAATTTCCTTCATTGAAGTTTGTTTTAGTTTTTTATTTCACCTCTCTCTGCTCATTAAGTTTGGACTGTATTGCTTTCTTTTGAAGACTATTTTTGACTTAAGTTTTATCTCCAGCTGAGAATTATTGAACAGTGGGCCCAAGTTTGAGGCATTAAAGGACATTTATTTACGTTTTGGATTTTGTTACGTTTGTGTTACACTCTGGGTCATCACAGAGTCACATCACACACAAAAGCCTAAAATGGGTCTGGGAAGTTGGTGTTGTGGGAAACCAGCCACTATATTAGGGATGGACTTTGGGTAGCAGAACCACAAAAAAATAGACCTTCTCGGTGGTGGCCCATCTCTATTCCTGGTATGGTTGACTCCCCACTCTGTTGCTTTTCCTAAAAATGTGTTTTTGTTTGGGGGGGGCAGGGACCCCAAGCAGAGATGGAAGCCACCAAGTGACTGCATTCATTTATGCTTTCTTGTTCCCCTTGTCGGCACATAAAAATAGATTTTTGATAGTGCTCTTCCAGCCCCTGTCTTGACTTTCTTTTCGACACCCTGGTTCTTTTGGAAAACCTTCCCTTGCAGATATCAGCCTGCCAAGACTCAGCCAGCTGGCTGTGGGCAGAGTTGCCTGTTGCCTCCTTATTTACCCATGCCAGTCAGTTGGCACTGCCTGAATTGCGTGACATTCTGCTGTTCTTTGTCGGGCAGAGGGCACAGATGGGCCTGCGGGTTTTAACACCGTAATCAGGCAAATTGCACCTCTCGCTGAAGCGCGATAACGGCCTGTTTTTAAAAGTGCCATTGTGAGAAAGGAGGTGGGCCCAGCAGCCTTTTAAATGCTGGTTGTGAAGTGGCTTAGATTGCAGCTGTTGGCCCCTTTCTAGCTTGGCTTCTTTCAGCAGGATACTGAAGTGGCTGCAGAGTCTGTTTACAGGAGCAAAAATGTAGGGCTGTCCCAGAGATTAGGGGCAGAAGGTGACCGGCTGAAGCGATGAAAGGGGGCAAAGAAAGGTGAAACGAGAAACTCGGGCCTGAAACGATCAATTGCACCTCAACCGAATGAAGAAATATTGATCCACAAGATCGACCAAAGTGGAGAATCCCACTCCAAAAAAGCTTTTAAGGATGTCTTTAGAAATTGAAAATGGCCTTTCTTTTAAAACAATTTTTTTTATAATAAATGTTATTGAATAAAAATTAAAAACAATTGAACACAGTGCAACTTTCTTGGCCATACAAGCTACACTATAGAGATACACATAACAGTTAATTTCCTTTTTCCCTTATGTTATTAGTGTAGTGCTAGCTGCATATTGTTTCTATTTACATTTATATAGATAAATTTAAAATGGCCTTTCCATGGCAGCTTTTGATGGGGCTCTGGGGTAGTGGCCAAGCTTTGAGAAAGGAGGGCAGTATAGGCAGCTACGTGGCCTCAAAGTGTGCACTGTATTTGTTGTTGCTGTTGTTCTTCAGATGCTAAATTGTGTCGGACTCTGTGCGACCCCATGGATCACAGCATGCCAGACTCTCCTGTCCTCCATTATCCCCCGAGTTAGTCCAAATCCATGTCCACTGAGTTGATGGCACTAGCACTAGCAACAGCCCTTAGACTTATACGCCACTTCAAAGTGTTTCACAGCCCTCTTAAGCCAGGGGTTGCCAACCTTTTGGACTTCAGGGACCATCAAACTCATCATTTTAAATCCCACAGACCAGAGACCCTGGGAAAATCCCCCAAAAAGTCTGCAGGAAAATTCCCCATCCCGTTTTCCTACCGATCTATCGTTCTTTATTTGGGATCGCAGGATACCGTCTCCAGCTCCGTTCTCAGGGGGAGACAGAGAAAGAGAGACTTTTGGCTTCATGCAAGGAAAGCAGCAGAAGCAGCAGAAGTCTTTCTTTCTCTCCCCCAAACTCCACCAGAAATGAGCCTTTGCCGGCACAGCCGCTTGGAGCAGGAGGCCTTGCAGGGTCCCTGACTCATTACTGGCAGAGTTTGGGGGAGAGAAAGAAAGACTTCTGCTGCTTTCCTTATGTGCAGCCAAAAGCAGAAGAAGAAAGAAGCGGAAAGAAGCAGCCTGGTGGCCAGGCCAGGCGGGTGGGGCGAGTGGGGCAAGTCCCCCACTCCACCCTTTCCCCCTCTCCCCTCACTACCTTGTTTTGTTCACAAAGCAAGTAACTCAAGCCTTGTGTTCCCGCGCAGCCTGGATTAATTGCTTTGGGGGTGACATTTGCTTTGGGGGTGACATTTCTCTGCGGACTAGCAAAATTTCCTCACGGACCACCAGCGGTCCAAGGCCCACTGATTGGCAACTACTGCTTTAAGCGGTTTACAGAGTCAGCATATTTTCCCCAACACTTTGGGTCCTCATTTGACCGATCTCGGAAGAATGGAAGGCTGAGTCAACTTCAAGCCAGTCAGCATCGAGCTCCTGGCAGTGGACAGAGTTATTCTTCAATACAACCTTCGAACCATGGTCTTAGACACCCTCTAACCCTCTCATCCTCTGCCCTCCCTTTCTCCGTTGGCCTTCCATCTTTCCCAACATCAGGAGTCCTCTCTTCTCATTTGGTGGCCGAAGTATTTGAGCTTCAACTTCAAGATCGGTCCTTCCAAAACACCATCAGGGTTGATTTCCTTTAGGATTGAGCGCACTCTATACTGAAAGCAAAACGTTGGCCAAGCCAGCTTTCTTCGGGGCCAATAATTTTATTCCTGTCCTTGGGGAGCTTCCTTTCTTTCCCACCTCTTGGCTTTTATAGGTCCCAAAGGCTTCCCTGGTCTTGAAGCAAGGCTGCCAAGAACAGGGATCCTCAAACTTAGCAAGTTTAAGATTTGTGGACTTCAACTCCCAGAATTCCCACAAGTCTTAAAGTTGCCAAGTTTGGAGACCTCTAGCCAAGCATGTTCTCCAAGAGCTGTCCAGGGTGCTCTAAAGTTTCTGGAGCTTCTCTTCATTTCAAGCTCCATTTGATCCTATCCTTCCTGCAGCCAAGGAGGGTAGATCAGTATTGACACGTCTGGAGTCTGATTTGGAGGTTGTTGGATGTGAATCAGGTGAGGTTTCCAATTGTCAGCAGTTCTGAATGCTGGCCTGGGTACCAAGTTCTGCCTTTCCCTTAAGAACCTCTTTACAGGTTAGTCCTGGACATACAGCAGTTCGTTTAGTGACCAAAGTTTTAACAGCACTGGAAAAAGTGCCTTACGACTGGTTTTCACACTTACGACCCTTTCAGCATCCCTGTGGTCACATGATTTGGATGCCTGACAACTGACCCACATTTACGATGGTTGCAGTGTCCCCCGAAGTCATGTGATCCCCTTTTGCGACCTTCTGACAAGCAAAGTCATGGGGGAAGCCTGATGTCACTTAACGACTGTGTTGCTGACTTAACGATTCACTTAACAGCTGTGGAAGGTCGTACAATGGGGCCAAACTCACTGAACTGTCTCGCTTAGCAGGAGAAGTTTTGGGCTCAATGGTGGTTGCAAGTCAAGGACCACCCATAAATAATCCATTGGGCTTCCATGATTAACCACAATTGTCAGGATTCTGGCAGTTACCCCAATTAAATTATGAGTCTCGAGCCAAACTTCCAAACTATTTATGGAATGCAGTTTCAGTTTCTAAGCTGCCGTGCTACTCTTTCAAACCCCTTTCCCCCTCCCTTTCTGTTGGCAACTCTAAAAAGACCATAGAAATATTTTATGAGTTGACATCTTCTTTTCTTTCCCCCAGGAGTCTTCTAGCATCCTGGCCAGAGAGGAGTTCTGATCTAGAACATGGCTTGTTCCTGGTGGCCTCCAGCCTTCCCCCAAAAGGGAATTTGAGGCCTCGATTCCGGCACCTTCACACGAACCATGGAGGTGATGGACGTCCCGGTGGGAAACCTCATTGACTTTGACTCTGAACTGTCTACCACGGACACCTCTGAATCGGTCCCCACCGGCCCCTCGACCGCCAACGGCCACGCAGGGCTGGATCGCCGCGAGGCGGGCCCTGCGGCCGAGGAGAGCGATGCCACCGAGTCGGCCGACAGCGAGAACGACACGACCGACTCGCCCACCCACCCGAGCTGGAATAACCACCGGCGCTCTTCCTCGGAGTCCTACTCGTCCAACCAGAGCACAGAGTCCACTCGGGGGGAAGCACCGGCCGAACAGCGGGAATTTGTGAGCCAATACGTGGAGAAGATCTTCACTGGTGGGTGAGTGTTGCAGGAGACCCCGTGGGACCCTGGAAGGGGGAAGGAATGCCCTGGCAGCCTAAAGTTGTCAGCACGCAAGAATATTAGTGGAGAGCATGATTGATGACTCTTGGCTATGGAGGTGTCCCATTGGAGAATATACAGTACATCCAGAGGGTGAGGGGAAGACCAGGGCCAAGGAGGAAACGAATGATGTGTCTTAGATTCGGCTGCACCCAGCTAATGCTGACATGGTCACTCCTAATAAATCAAGTTTTTTTTTTACTCTGAGAGATTTTACATATTTTTACATTTGATTTGATTTGTCAATTGCTTACAACATAATAGGTATAAGTATAAACATAGTTATGAATACATGAAATGGATACATATAAGAAAAATATAAAAGAAAGAATAGGACAGGGACGGTAGGCACGTTGGTGCGCTTATGCACGCCCCCTACAGACCTCTTAGGAAAGGGGTGAGGTCAATAGTAGACAGTCTAAGGTTAAAGTTTTTGGGGTTTGGGGAAGAAACCACAGAGTCAGGCAGAGTATCCCAGACATTGACCACTCTGTTGCTGAGGTCGTATTTCCTGCAATCGTTTGGTGCGGTTAACCTTGAGTTTGTATATATTGTTTGCTCTTGGGTTGTTATGATTGAAGCTGAAGTATTCATTGACAGGTAGGATGCGGCTAGAGACTTATGATTTGAATGGGGGTGGATTTGTTGGAGCTCTGACATTGGGAGACCTGGCAGGGCAGATCTGATAGCTCCTGCCAGCCATCTTTGGCTCAGACATAAAATAAAATCCCAACTGGATCTCAGCAAAGCTTGCGGCATTCTGAGTCAACCCGCTCTGAGTTAATGTGATGGAAACTGAGCAGTGATGGGGGGAAGGGCGGCTGGCTTGGCTCCCTCGCTTGCTTGGAGCTCGATTGGGGTTCTGGAGCTATCCAGAATATTCCCTGTGCAACTTGCACTTGGGTGGCACCAAAAGGGGGGGGTGGCCCTCCCTCTGCAGAAGCAGGGAAAGACCCCGTGTGCTTTGGAGCAAAGCTTTTAATGTGAATTGTTAAAGAACGGATTGAATTAGAAAGGCAGTAGCCCAAGGCAATATTTCTCCACTGTACACCTTAACTTCCTGTCTCCATGGATAAGTCCTTTAATTCCTCATTTTATTTCAGGCAACTTAACCGAAAGATCTGAAGTTTTAGCCAATTATTTTGGAAGCCTGTTAGGGTTTGAGGATTAACCCCTAGCATAGTATTGCAGCAGTAGTCAAACCAGGAAGCCAAAGAAGAGCGGAAGGGCCCCAGAGTATACACACACTGAACACAAACACTGTTTGTAGTTTAAATAGTTTTTAATCCAGTTAGAGTTTAAGCATTGTCATTCAGTCCATTAAGTCATTCACAGTATTTCCATCCAGTAAGACTCACTAGTATAGTCCAAGTTAAGAGTCCTTGCAATATCTTTATCAGCCGATAAAGATATCTTCTCCTCCTCCGGTTTCACTCTCCAGAGAAACAAACGCTGGATATTCAGTAAACAGTAGCAAACAAGAACAGTTCAGTCACAGGCACTCACAGTCAGTAATCACAGTTAGTCACAGCAAGACACAGTTAGTCGCAGCAGCACACAGTTACAGTCACAGCTTTCCAGCTTCTAATGCTTCCTTATATTGTATCTTCTAACCGCACCCTTAATCGGCTAATTGCCTGCTGCATTGTGCTTAAAGCGATAAGCACTTAAACCATGATATCTAAGTTTTATATATTTATTCACCCAAACCATATTTGGTATCAATGTTATACCTAACAAAGCCCAAGCAGTTCCTGCAAGCCCCTTGGAACAGGGCTATGCCTGGAGTTTGGTTAGACTTTTTGAGCCAACTAGGTCCTTCTGAATATAAACAAACAAGGGGTTTTTCTGTTCACCTTCTGTGCATACAAATTCATTCATTGACCTCTTTCCCATGGTGGAAAGACCGAGATTGACAGGTGCCAAGGTCCAGAGAGAGAAACACCTTCGAAGTAGTCTCTGTATAGCATGGATAGCTCCTGCACCCATTATTATTAAAATACATCCACGTCATGGCAAGTTCAAAGCCCCAGAGATGCTAACATTTCTGTTAATAATGGCAACAATCCTATGGAACGGCTTCCTGCTGGAACAGTGTTTTCTCAACCATGACAACTTGAATGAATGAATGAATGAATTCTGGTACTGGCCAAGTGTGATTAGACACACAAGGAATTGGTCTTGGTGCATATGCTCTCAATGTACATAAAAAGAAAAGATACTGTCATGCCCCTGGTGGAGACTGACTCTGAGGGAGAGGAGGAACAGCCGACAGGGAGTGGAAGTGGGGCTCCGGAGGTTGTGGAGGAGGCTGGGCAAGGGCAGAGGCCGGCTGGGCAGTCAAGAGGAGGACCCAGGCCCATCCCCTCTGCATCCTAGGGCACGCAGGGAGGAGAGGATAAGGGAAAGATGTGGTCCACTGGAGAGGAGAGGATCTTGATCCCCTTTATGGGCGGCAGCTGTGACAACTGAATAAGAGAACGGACATGTGTATTGGCAAACGCTGGAAACAAAGCATGGAAATATCTCTAGTTTATGGTTCCTGTCTGAGTTTGGCATCCTTCCCAGTGTGTGTCTGTGGATGTCCTCCAGCCCTTATCTTGCCTGGGTTGTATTGCTTTTTTCCTCCTTCTTGTAACTGTTTGTGTGGGAGTTTTTTTGTCTTCAGTCAAGGATATTCGGAGCTTGGAAGGAAAGTGAAGGAATAAAAGGGGCTTCGCCTGTTTTCTGTGACTGTATTTGTTTTGTATCCCACCCTGGGTCATCACATATACATAGGTCAAAAATCATAAGGTACAACACCTAATGATAGTCATAGGGTAAAAATAAGAGGGGTGGACTTCAACTCTCTGAATTCTCCGCTGGCTGGGGAATTCTGGGAGTTGAAGTCTGCCCCTCTTAAAGTTGTCATGGTTGAGAAATACTGCTTTGGAAGCTCTTTTATCCACGGGTTTTATTCCAGAATAGAGAGTTGTTCTGGAGCAGGGGTCTCCAACCTTGGCAAAGCTGCCTGAGGAATTCTGGGAGTTGAAGTCCATAAGACTTAAAGTTGCCAAGGTTGGAGACCCCTGTTCTGGAGGAAACTTAATGCTCCTATGCATGCTTACTGTTTCCTCCATTGTTACCGAGTTCACTTATTTGTATATGCTACCTTACTATTTCTACGGATGTTTTAATTTCCTGGATTTATTGCATGCCCCTGTAATATGCAGGGAGTCCTTGGAACTAAATCACTGTATAAGTGTAATAAAATTCGCCGAACAAGAGCTCTCTTTTTGCAGCTGGGTTATTTTTTTTTTACAAACTCCTGGAATTGAGGTTGAGGATAAATCACCGCAGTCAACTTCCTATCCTTTTTGATGCCTTTGGGAAACCTGTTTATTTACCCTGGCAGATGCCACGATCCGCAGTTACACAATTTTCTCTTTGTTTTGAGTGAATAGAAAAGGGCAGGTCCTGTGGTTTCTGAGGACAGGGATTTACCTGGTGATAACTTGCAGGCATCCATATGTTTTAAACCAGGGGTCGCCAACCTTTTGGACCTCAGGGACCACCAAACTCATAATTTTAAATCCCGCAGACCACTAATATGAATTTTGACTGACGGTGGCTTGCTGACATTGGTGGGAGAGAGAGAGACAGAGAGTGAGAGAGGCGATCTAACCTCAGAGGGCTGGTGTTGATGTTCTCCCTCCCTCCCTCCCTCTCCCCCCCCACACATATACACAGGTCCCTCACATACCCACACGCCCTCCAAGGTGCTCCATTCTCAGGGAGAGAGAGAGAGAGAGAGAGAGACTTTTGGCTTCATGCAAGGAAAGCAGCAGAAGCAGCAGAAGTCTTTCTTTCTCTCCCCCAAACTCCACCAGAAATGAGTCTTTGCTGGCGCAGCCGCTTGGAGCAGGAGGCCTTGCAGGGTCCCTGACTCATTTCTGGCGGAGTTTGGGGGAGAGAAAGAAAGACTTTTACTGCTTTCCTTACGTGCAGCCAAAAGCAGAAGAAGAAAGAAGCGGAGAGCAGCAGCCTGGTGGCCAGGCCAGGTGCGTGGGGTGAGTGGGGCAAGTTCCCCCCTCCGCCCTTTCCCCCCACCCCTCACTACCTCGGGTTGTTCGCAATACAAGCGACGCAAGCCTTGTGTTCCTGCGCAGCCTGGATTAATTGCTTTGGGGGTGACATTTCTCTGCGGACCACCCAAATTTTCTCACAGACCACCAGTGGTCCCTGGCCCACCAGTTGGTGACCACTGTTTTAAAGGAGGAATGAAATTTTGTGGCCCACCTGCTGCCTTTAAAGCTTGGGGTATAACTGTCCTGGGAGAGGGTCTTTCGCAGAGAAGCCTTCATTGTTGGTCTGTAGGAATCTCAGTTCCTTCTGCTTCAAGAGACCCAATCCATAGAGGTGGCCACAATGAAGGGGAGGGTGTCAACCTTTTTTCCAAAGTACCTGAAGGCAGGACAAGCAGCAATGGATGGCAGGCAGGCAGGCAGGCAGGCAAGCAGGGGCCCCGTCTGCCGTCTGGAAGCAGATATTTCTATTTATAGGCGTGCAAAGGTGTGATGGGTGATGATGTGTGATTTCAGAGAGGAGTTTGACCAAGAGGAGCAAGCCAGATTCGGGGAGCTGTGCAGTGGCGAGAACACGAAAGGCAGAGAGTGGTTCGCCAGATACGTCAGCGCCCAGGTAAGGAAGCATTTAGGATCAAACCGCTTTGCTAAATCTGGCATGCCGTAGATCTCAGGGAATGCGCCCGACTTACCATTGGCAATGCAATGCAATTCCAGCCTGCTTCGGAACTTCTTCTAGGATTTGTTAAGAGTCCCTGTGAACCTACATGTAAAAGCACAGTCTACCATCTTGGTATTCCTAACTTCGTCCGTTGTCGGTTCCTTCACAGCGCTGCAATTCCAAGTGTGTTTCCGAGCAGACTTTCTATCGCCTGGTGCAGTCCTTTGCTGTTGTGCTGTTTGAGTGAGTAAGCCCAGTCATCTTTTGTGTGTGTGTGTGTGTGTGTGTGTGTGTGTTTCAACAAGACTTAATTCAGTAGACTTTCTGCACAGCCAGATCCACCAAATATTTTGGCTAGATTTCCTTAAATCCCTGATCTTCCAAGCAGTCCGTCTCTCTCTCTCTCTCTCTCTCTCTCTCTCGGTGTCTCTGTATCTCTGTCTCTTTCTCTCTGTCTCTCTCTGTCCCTCTCTCTCTTTGTGTGTCTATCTCTGTCTCTTTCTTTCTCTCTCTCTCTCTCTCTCTTTGTGTGTGTCTCTCTGTCTCTTTCTCTCTGTCTCTGCCTCTGTCTCTCTCTCTCTCTCTCTCTCTCTTTCTCTCTCTGCCTCTGTCTTTCTCTCTCTCTCTTTGTGTCTCTCTGTCTCTTTCTCTTTCTCTCTGTCTGTCTCTGTCTGTCTCTGTCTCTCTCTTACGTACACACTCACACTTCCATTTTGGCCCTGTAATTCATTCCTTGGAAGGACCCTGGGCCAAAGCACAGAATCATAGAATTACGGGGTTTGGAAGATCAGAGACCCTCAAACTGGCGATTCTCAAACTTGAAGATGGGTGGACTTCAACTCCCGGAATTCCCCAGCCAGCTTGAGAAACGCTGCTCTCTAATCCAACCCTCTGCAAAAACCAATTTTTGAGCCACGCTCCCTGGAATAAGGTCCCTCCCTCCACACTTTTCACCCACTTTTCTCTTTGGCTTTGTAGATGCTACCAGATGGATGACTTCAGCCCTGCTAAAAACCTGATGACCATGTGCTTTACTTACTACTACGTCGGTAAGTGTAGCAAAAGTCAAATCCAGAGGAGTGGTTTGTCTCCAGCAGGAGCACATGGACTTTCCAAGAAGTATTTTTTTTAAAATTAAAAAAAGGAATCCTGCCTATTTATAGGCTGCCATGTGGACTAGTAACCTGGCTTGTTTTAAAAAGAAAAGAAGTGGCTCTCTTTATACGAGATTGGAGACGGGTTGCTGCCTATTTTGACTGGGGAATTCTGGGAGTTGAAGTCCACGTGTCTGAAAGTTGCCAAGTTTGAGAAACTCCGGGTTAAAACTGTTTCCTTTCCCCCTTGATCTTTGTACAGGCAAGCCCCAAACTCTCCCCCCAGAGTGCAAGGAGGAGAGAGCCGCGGGGAGCATTGATTCCTACCTGAAATCCGCCAACAGCTGGCTGGCCGAGAAGAAGGACATTGCGGAACGGCTGCTGAAAAACACCTCGGCCAAGACGGAGAACATGAAAGGGTTTTTCGGGAGCTTTGAAAGCAAACTGAGGGGTCCCAGCGGGACCAGGAAGAGCGAGTGAGTCCCAGTGGGAAGGTTTAGGGCAGGCTCCAAAGGATGCATCCGCTTTGTCACCTGTAAATTCTCAAGGAATGGAGTGTCCCCTGAGATTCCCAAAGGCAGGAATAAAATCAGAGGGTGGAACTGGCAGGAAAGCGGATTTTATCTGAGGGTCAGGGAGAACATCGTAACTGTCAGGTTTCCAAGTGATGAAATCCATTTAAGAAGAAAAGAGCAGGGTCTGTCTTCTAAACAATCTGTTTTATTTAGGAAAGTATCAAATTGGAAAAGCCTGTTGTAATTCTGGATCTGACATAACCCGGAATTATACCACATTAATATTGGAAATTAGAAACAGCCCCCCAAAAGTCACATTTCCCCAATAGACGTAAATCAACGTTTGCCTGGTGTCATTAATTTCCACCTCCAGGTCTCAGCAGGGTCGGCTTTTGTTCCCACGGGAAGGAGAACCACCTAGCCTCAACAACTCTCTCTATCTCCATGCCTCCCACCTTAGGAATGTGGTAAACCTGAAACCCCCCCCCCCCCCCCCCCCCGTAACCAGCAAAGAGAAAGAAGGAAAAGAAATATATAATAAGGCTAAATAAAATGGCTATGCATGTGTCAATTTCGGACTCGACAATAACATTGGACGCAGTTTGGTTGTGGAACCGACTCTGTAGAAGCAGCTGATCGTGGTCCCTGGATGGATTGGAGCCAAGGATGGGCTGCCCTTGAGCCTTCCGTGGCAGAGGGGGGCTTGCCACCTCTGCTCTGCTGGGCTGAATCCCACCTCTGTGCTCTTCTTGTAGGGATGGCGAAGAGAAGCCCAGGGAGAGAATGCAGAAATCAGGTAAGCAGATCCAGCCCAGATAGTTGGTGGTCCTGGGTGGAAGCTCCGGATCTCTCCAGCAGGGCAAAGAAGGCGGAAGGGGGTCTGCCTCCTCTAAGGCCCCGTGGCCTGAATGTCCCTCTCTGCGCAGTTTCCCTCTACAGTCCCGAGGAGGAGGAAGAAAGAAACGGGGAGAAGATCTACCTGTACACGCACCTCAAGCAACAGCCCATCTGGTAAGGACGGAGAAGACGGCGGTTCTGACCCAGCTCCCCTAACACGACAAACCCTCTGAAGTTAAATCGATGATTCCTTTATTAGGAATGCTGGCAGCTCCGGCAAAAGGTTTCTCCCTCACTGCAGGCTAATAAGTCCGTCTGCCACATCTATTCATCTCCGCCCCCTGCCTTTTATCCCCAGAGTTAAGGTGGGGCCTCACTAGCAGCAGTGGCTCTTCCATCTCAAGGCCCAGCCCATAGATTTCCACTGCTCTCCTCTCCTCTGCCTTTTGGGCATCCATGCATCAGGCACTGGACCCGGCTGTTCCTCCTCTTCCTCTTCCTCATCAGCCACCTCCAGACCTGGGGGCTGTTGACTCTCCATCTGAGGGTTGACGGATGGCCAAGGCTCCATCTCTCTCTCTCTCTCTCTCTCTCCCTCCCTCCCTCCCTCCCTCCCTCCCTCTTCCCCCTCGGAGCTCTCAGGTTGCCTTGATCCTGACCCTGACTCCCATGCTGCTGCCTCATCTGGAGGGGCCAGCAGCCGATAGGCCACAACAATGGCCTTCTCAATCTTCACAGCCTCCACAGAAAGTCGGCTGTGGCCTTCAGAGCAGCTCAGCACAGGGTCCTTCCAACCACCCAGAACCCGGCTGTTGTTGGCACCGGCCTCCATGCTCCATGCTTTCATTTATTTATTAAATTGATATGCCACCCATCTCACTATCCCAAGCAACTCTCGGTGTCTTCCTCCCGGTTTTGTAGGCACACTCTGAGGTTCTGGAACGCGGCTTTCTTTGATGCCGTCCACTGCGAGAGGCGGAAACGGTCTCCCACCACCAGGTAACGTCTCTCAGGGCCTCCTCTGGCTTTGGAGGAGGGTGAGGGGAGGAAAGGTTGGCTGGAGAGGAGGTTTCCCGTCTCTCCGTGGCCTTCACGCTCCCTTGTCAAGATGGCTCCTTCTGTTCGTTTGTGGCCGAGCTGCTCTCAGATGTTCCTCTTTGGATTAGAAAAGGGGAGATTGGTGGGAAGGACCTTCACTCTTGTACTGTCTTGTGGGTGGGTTGAAAAAACTAATTCTTTCTCTCTCTCTCTCTCCCTTTCTCTCTCTCAATGCCTGTAATCCTGTTCTTTTTTTTTCTTGGTTCATTTCCTCCGTCCTTTCCTTCCTTCCTTCCTTCCATCCTTCTTGCATGTACTTGTGACTTCTCTTGGCCCTTCCTGCTGCCACTCCAGAGGGGACACTGGGGAGGAAGAGGAAAAGAGGTGTGTCTTCCCACCTTTACTTTCTTCCCTTTCTTTCCCCTCCCCCTAAATGGTTACCCCAGCCCAAAAATTTGCCTCCTGCCAACGGGGATGAGAAATCCTGTTAGACGACGGAACGTGTTCGTTCATTAATTTATTGAATTCATTTCTATTGAAATTTGCTTTTCTTTGGCCTGGTGGTGCTGTCTCTTTTATTCCCGTGGGCAGCCCTCTCTCTTGGACCAAATTCAGAGGACCAAGGCTGCCCCGGGGGCCTCTCAAATGGACATCTTTGGCCTTGTGACTAAAATTTGCCTTGTTTTGGAAAGCTGCAATACAAAAGAAGTCGGATTAAAATGAAAGAAATGTTGCACGCTAAACTAATAGGCAGCAAGGCCTGCCTTAAACTACCTTTGGATTGTCTTCCAGCATAGGAGCCCATCTTCTGATTCCCTGCCAGAGGTGGTGGGCCACAGTTTATTTTAAAAAATATATGGGTTGAGTAGTGTTTATAGTCTTCTGAATTTGCATTCAACGTTTCCATCCCCATAAGACGGCGTACACCAAGTATCACGTTTAGTTAATTTGGTTTTGCCATTTTTGCGTCTCGGCAACAGGGGTAAGTTTTTGGAAAGTGGCTGCTGCTTTGAGTCTGTAAGAAGTTCTAAAGTTTCAGTGTTTTGTTTTGGTTTCCCTTTTTCCTCCTTCCTTCCTTTTGGCTTCTGAGCGCCTTTGGTGACTGGCTGATATATTCTGTCTCCCCCTTCCCTTTCTTTGTTAACTGTCTGGACTTTAAACATCTCCTCTTCTGAGTAAGTTCTCTCTTACACTGATGGTGGTACTCTGTGTTCCCTGCCCCCCTTAACTGGTGTTTTATCCTGCCCACATCCGAGGCTGGCTTGCTCTTCTTCCTAGAGCGGTGATGGTGGTGAACCTATGAGAACTGGTGAGCTGCCACGCCATTTTGGGTGACACACCTCTGCACCCTCTGGAAGGTGTGGAAGAGGGCCTTGCTCTTGTGCTGCTTTTGTGGCCCCCACAAAAATGTGCCAATATTCTCACATGGTTTTCACAACCTTCGGAGACCCTGTGAGAACAAAACACTCTTGTGTGAACTCCAGAGGATCTGGAGAGGTGGTCTGGAAAGAGAGAGTTCTTTTGTCTCTCTCTCTCTCTGTGTGTAAAACACACCAGCGGGGCCTGAATTGTTGACCCCTCCCCCAAGTGCAAAAGGTTCACCACCACTGTCCTAGGGGGTTTGCACACACAGTCTCCATTGCACGTCCTCCAGTCATACAGATGGGGGCCAGGAGGCTGTATACCAAGACCTGAAGCCTTGAAGGGCTGGAGCCCCTCTCTGCTCTGGTCTCCTTCTGGCCAAAGCAGGAGAAATTGCCCCCAGCCTCATTCTCTAGGGAAGTTCCCCTTCTCTGTAAGGCCAGCATAGATCAGCTCATCTCCCAGGAAGTGGCGTGCAAAAGGTTTTTAATTTCAAATCCCCCCGAGCTTTAAAAAATTGCTCGCAAGATCCTTGCATTTAAAAATCAGAGGAAGGAATACGGGGAGCTTCAAACGCTCCCCGAATGATTGGAGGAGCTGGTTTGGGACTTGCAACCGCCCGTCCTTCTTGCAACCTGCAGCTCTGCATTGTTTTTATTTCTCTCTTGGGAAACCTTTTTTAAAAAAACTTATTTCTAAGAACAGCAGGCTGGATTTTTTAAGATGTGTGTTTCTTTTCATCCGGTCTCTCTTGGGGGCCTCTTCTGTCTCCTTTGGGGGAACCTGGGGTCTCCTTTCTCTGAAGTGGTGACCTGTTTTTTTTCAAGGTTGGGGGAAAAAGCCAGCACTTGGCCAGTTCCAGAAAGCTTAATTCTAGATGGAGGGAGCTCAGCTTTAAAGCTAACATTTCGATCAGGTTATCGGGAGAAAGACTTCAGCTGGACCTTAAGAGGTTGGGGATTGGGGTTTCCTTTTGAACCTTTCTCCTTTCCACTTCATTCCTTCCCCTCTTGCTGTGTGTTTGGCTTTCTCCTTTCCTGCACACCACACAACAGATGGCTTGTAAGGGACTGGGGGTGTGTCACAGTAGTCACCATTATGGTGGCAACCGAGATGACTTCCTGCAGAAACGTCTCCACTTGTAAAGTTGAACTTGCTTTTGAAAGAGGACTCTAAAGAAGCTAGATAACCACAGATGCAATCCACAAACGGAAGGGAAACTTATTTAAAATTGGTCTTTGGACTTCATACAGCAGGGATCCCCAAACTTGGCAACTTTAAGACTTGTGGACTTCAATTCCCAGAATTCTCCAGCCAGCTATGCCAAAGAATTCTGGGAGTTGAAGTCCACAAGTCTTAAAGTTGCCAAGTTTGGAGTGACACAAGCTCAAATACAGAACCTCAAATTGGCCAGACACAACCCATCTTGGGAGGTGGCCTTAGAAACATCTCCCGAGTGGTTGCCACAATTGATAGCTAATATGGGAAAGCAGGCTGTGCCCTTCAACCTTGCTCCCATCAATGCCTGCCAATTTTGACAAACGATGTGCCAATCAATTGCGCAAGGGACCCTGGCTCCATGTTCCCCACCTGTGTTTGCAGGGAGAAGTGGTGCCACATGACCCAAGAAGAACGGAACGATAGCCTCCGTTTTAATGAGAATATCACCTTTGGACAGTTGGGGTAAGTACCAAAACCAGCCATGTTTTCAAATAAGTGAGAAAAAGAAGATGAACTTTCGCAGCCTTCCGAGATTAGTAGTAGTAGTTCTTCTTCTTCTTCTTCTTCTTCTTCTTCTTCTTCTTCTTCTTCTT